GTCGCGCGACGGCGACGCGAAGGCGAGCGACCCCCCCCCCCCCCCCCACCCGGCTTCTGAACGCCAACGTTTTAAAATGCTCTTCCGATCCTGCCGCACTTGGAAGAAAACAGGCCGGCTACGCCTGGAAAAGGGATCCGTTTCCTTTCTGCCACGAGGCGGCGGGAAGTGTGATTCGGGGGCTTGCCTCCGGCTCGCGAGAAAGGCGTCCCGGTCCAGTCGTCACTGAGCTCTGGAGAATTTAAAATGAAGCGGGACTGAGTGAGCTCTGCAAAACAGCACAGCGCATGCACGGGCACCGTTGCTGCTGGGATCTCCCCCCACCCCGCTCCTCCCGGGAGTCGAGAGGGGCGCTTGGGGAGCACCAGCGACGATAAAGAGCCGAAGGCTGGCGCTCGACAGGAGCGGCCGGTGGTGGGAATGAGTATTCCCGCCTGCACACCGAGCGCTACGGTGGGAGCGGCGCTTGGAACGAAAGACGAAAAGGCGGAAGAGCGCCTTTAGTACAGTAGTTGTCGTAGATCGACGCTGTCCCTCCTCACTTTTCTTGCCACAGTTTTTAAAGATCCCCTTTTACCGCGGTTTGGGAAGGAGATCCGTTCCACAGACTTAGTAAACAGGTTGATGTCCCGTTTGCAGAAGGATACACATTCACACACAGGAGCACCCAACTTGGCAGAAATAGCTGACAGGCATGTCAGTGGTACCTCTAGAAGAGAGACAAGGTTATTTATCACTTGGCAACATAGTCTGCTCTGGATGCAAAGGGTAGACTATCCAGTCACTATCCAGTCATGGCGTTTGTGTGGTGATGATGAAGACCTCAGCTTTCTAAGGCATGACAACACCTTGCTCTTTTGCACAACAGCCTTGTGTATCCATAGCTGTAAAATCAAGTTCTCCAAACCCCTATTCCTCTACATCCCTGCAGAAGGAGAAGTTAAGGAGCCTCGGCCTTCTCTATGACTTAATGGGAATCAAGCCACATTCAGCTGGTTTTTCCAATGGGCAACCTTTACTAAAGTTGTAGTCCCCAACTACCGCGAAAACCTTTGTAGGCTGCTTTAATGATGCAGAAAAAGAAAACGAAAATAAAAGGGAAAGGATTCTTCTCTTCCTCCACCAGGGCAACAATTGTTAATTCGGGTATTTGCTTTCAATAGATACTGTTTTGTTTTGTCTTGTCCCCTCCCCCAATGCCTGTGCCTGATAAGAAGAAGGGAGAATATGGGGGAGAGATTAAAAACCTGGAGGGAAATTACAAGGCATGCCCAAGAGAAGTGAGATGGGGTGTGTAATGTCTTGGTTGCAAGAGAAACATTGTGTTTGCAGGTTTTCACATCCCCATGGGTATTTTGAATGCTTCCAGCCAAACTTTTTATTTTTAATTAG